GGGTTTTGGGTTTAGGGTTTAGGGCAACTTGAAAACCGGCTCTTTACAGGCCACGGCGGTTTTTGGTCCTCATTTGGGGTTTCGGGCTTGACGGATGGGGGCTTAGGTGTAGTGGACCGGGTGCTTGGGGCATACCACACGATCACTGCATAAGGACTCCTACTAGCCCAAAGTGCGCCTGCCAAGGCTCAATGGACGTTTTCATGGTTTCGGCATGGTGCTCTAGCAAACGGCTGCTCTGGTAAGTAGACATGATTATGGCTTGGGCATAAATGCTCCGGCTAACGGACCTGATTTGGGAGTAGTGGTAGTACTACTACTACTACTGCTACTAGTCCCATCACTACTATCATTGCTGTTGCTACTGCCACCACTGCTGCTACTATGACGCGACGGCCACTACTCCTACTACGAGCCATTCCCTGCGAGAGTGAGAGCCGCACTAGGGAAGACTGATGTCCTTCTCGTGATACTAGTATGCATTGAGTCAAAAAAATCTAGCTGCACCCACCGCTTTCTGGAAGGAAACGGCCAGGGCTCGGGTGCGGACTATCAGCGTCCCGGCTCGAGGAAGGAAGTGTCAAGTCCGGAATGCAAAAAAAATTGCTCTAGGACTCTAGGCTTCCTCCGCTTTCCCACCCGTTGAACCTGTGAAGTGCATGCCATGATGCAGCAACATCCACGAGTTCCTTCAAGTAGCTCAAGCCAGCCGATGGGAGAGTCACCGGCTGAGGAAGTACACTCCGTCCGAGGGTTCGGCGAAGGACAAGGTCTGATGCTGAGGGGCTCTCCACTGCTAAGGCCAAGCCACCACAGCCTCAACAGTCGGACCCAAAAGCCGGTCCGAAGACCCACACCATACTGTACTAAAACTATATTCTTCTATGTTATATGTCAACAGGCTGTGCTACATTTGGCTAAAGTATGCATACTGTTGCATATGATAATATGTCTTATTGTTTTGTGTGGTACAGTGTTGTATCATCGTGCCTTATATTGTGTTGTTTCGTGTTGTGTCATATACTGTTTGATGTCTTATGTTTTATTATGGTGTTTCATATTGTATTGTACTGCCTTGTTTTCTGTTGTATCATTAATGTATATCTGTATCTTGGTGATATATGTGTATATCATAATGTTGCACGAAAATTTTCGGATCAATTATATGGTATAGTATCATGTAATAGAACACAGTGTGGTATATTGTTTTGCTTACGATTGGGATATATGGTGTTATCTTGTATTTTTCTTCTGATAGTCTAATATGTTACGCTACGTTGGATTATCGTGTAGTGTACGACATCACACTAGATTCTGTCTTGTACCCGTTTTTGTATATGGTGTTATAGAAAAATAAGAAATATTAGATCGGACCACATCACTCGGTATTACGTGACATTATGTTATGTTGCATTATGTTCTATACGTTCCTGAATTATAAATTTTGTGTTGGATACAGTATGATGTTATGCTTTTTTTCGTTATATCCTGTTTAATAAAGTTTTTCAGCTTACATTGGTGAGTAGTAATCTAAGTTGAAGTAAGATTTCTTGTGTGAGACTGTTTGTGTACTTTTTCACTATCGTGCTTTTTGCATTCCGTTATATCATATTATATTACGCGGTGCTATACTGCATTGTATCGTGTTATTCCTCTACATTTGATTCCATTATGTTGTATCATATGGTATTAGATGATAAAGTATGATATTCTTCCATGCTTGTATACTTTTTTAGAACATAGGTTATTCTCTTCTCTTCTATTAGTTTAGCCAACACCTTTTGGAGCCGCGCAAGGCTGGAGCTGTGAGCTTTGCTGCGTCAGCGATCCCAGCGGAGTGGCCTGCTGGACTTGTGCATATGCACAAAACGGCCATACATGGACACACAGAGCCAGAGTATTCTTGTGAATTTTCTGTGCTTGCGGACTCAGCAGCTGGACCGGAGGTCGGATGCAGCTACCCAGGCTGACTCCAAGCAGGTCACGTGCTTGTTTTTGTTAGTCCGTGAAGGTTGTGATGGTGATAAGAATCTAAGAATGTCAAAATAGCCTGACCAGGGCGACAATGCTCCGAGGGCAGCCCTCGGAGCAGCAAGATAGATGCGACTTGCCATGGTGATGATGTCTGATGTCGAGGTCAATGATGTTCCACTGGCGATTCCTGCAAAGTCGAGTTGGTTGGGCAGGGTGATTGGCGCTGGGACCAGCGTGGAAGGAGCTGGGTGCTGCTAGTCGGGGCCTGTCTGGCTCCCTGCGCGCCCCGTGCCAAGGTACCCCCTCAGCTTTCCAACATGCCCTCGTGGAGCTCGCTTTTAGGATCTTCAGGACGAATATGATGATGATGGTGGTGGCGACGGCGGCCTTGGTTGTGAGAACGATGATGCTGGATGATCATTCTTCCCCTGTTGCCTCCTCTTTTCCGATGCCGAACTTCATGTGTTGCACCGCCCGGCGAAGCCAGGGTGGACAGAGCAACTACCAGCAATACATCCCGACGGATTACAAGCAGTACATTCCAGGCCCAAGGGGGAGGCTTGAAAGTCATGCTGGTTCTGCAGAGATCTGAGCAACAACTATCCTAAACTCCTATCATAATGGCCAGCTTAATCCATGAACTTCCTCAACCCCTGTATTTTCAAAACCCGGCTTGGAGTAGTGGTGAAGGCTCTGGTGGCTCCGGCGGTGGCAGCGACTTCCAGTTCGGGCCCTGACTTGATTGGATGTCGAGGGGTCCTGGGATTTAGAGTTTAGGGGTTTTAGTTCTTGGGGTTCAGGATCTTAGGCTATTTGCTATATGTAGGGTTTATACTAGTCTAGTTTATAATACGGCTTAGGGAAGCAAGAAAAGACTTGAGATGCGTTGCTTGCAGCAGCGTGCGCCATGTTTGCCAGGCAGTACATGGACTTCTCTAAGTACATGGGCGGAGGCCTGCAAGCACGGAATGCAGCTTTTTTCGTAGTGCGTTTTTTCGATTCGGTTGTGCAGTAGTTCCCAGAGGGGGGGTTATGGAAAGGTAAGCAGCTTCCGATCTGCCCCAGTCCGCGACTCACAGGTCAGACCGAGGTCGATAGGTCAGGCTTGGTGCTGATTGCATCATCGTTGGCAGCGCTGCCCCGCCTTGGCCCGTAGTTCTCTGAACCCTAAACCCTAAACCCTCAGCTCTAACCAGCAGACGGAAAAAAGGTGCTCAAAAAAAAAAACCCTAGACCCTAGAACCTAAACGCTGGACCCTAAACCCTAAACCCTAGTTCCCCGAGTGCAAGAGCAGGCAAGCAAGGCCAGGGTGGCGCCGCGGATTTTTCCAAGTCCCTGGGCCCGCAAAGGTGGCCTACACATTCTGCTACATACACTATAGACTACATACTATAGTCGATATGGTAAATTATGTGAGTTTAAAGACTATATACTATATTCTATATGGTAGGGTATATGATATTATTTTTTGCTCACCACGATGAACTATGGTAGTTGACGGTGAGAATGGCCCAGAGCTCGTAGCTGCTGTGAGGTACATGGGAGGCTCCGGCCAGGCGGGAGGAAGCGACTTCCAGAAGTGACCTGCCGAAGCCGATGTCCTTTTGCATGTGATTTGGGAGTTTCCCAAAATAAGGAGTACCTGATTTTTTGGGGTCCTTATATTCGGGATCCTGCTATTTGGGGTAGTATCTTAGGGTCCCCTATTTTCGGAAACCCCCATGTCTGGCCGTGCAGCATGGGCATCCATACTCTCCGAATTTCACGGTTCAATTCCAAGCATTCAACAAGCTACTCGTCAAGGTAATCCCTTAGGGATCGATGTGCCATGGCGGACCAGGATGTAAAGCTTGTCATGCAGCAGATCGAGCAGCTCATACAAGGCTTGCTCTCCGCACACGACCGTGATAACAGCAGCTCCGTGATATTTGGGCCCGGGGCGCTCTGCAAGACTGGATCTCGGAAGCAGTCTCTGAATTCGCTCGCCTCTCGATCGGTGGAGGCACCGAGCCCTGGAAACGTGGTGGCACCACAGACGAACCCCAAGAGAATCCAGATAGAGTCGTCGCTGCCCAGCCGTCAGGTGTCTCCTAGTGACGATGGCTCGGACCCGGTTGAGGAGAACAGTGGCTTCCGCCTCGACCTGCTTTGGTCAAAGCGACACCAGGAGCTGACTGCCTATCGACGTAACAAAAGCGCTTTGCAGACCCAGTCTACAACTCTCTTCTATTTCGAACACGAGGTGCGAGAGAGTCGCTGGATATCATTTGCTAAGCAGCTTTGGTCCTTTATGGCTTCGGCTTTTCTTCTCTTCGACTGTATATCTGTGCCGCTGCTCGCTTTCTCCGTTCGGGAGCCATGGTGGTGTCACGCGATTCGTCTTGTCTTCTGGATGCTAAGCTTGCCGAGGATTTGGCTGATGCATGGGAGGTACGTGACTTCCATTGTGAACATAGTTGTGGAGGTTGTGCTTCTCATCATGCTTCTCTGTGTCGCTGTTTTTGGAACCAGCCTTTCGACCGACGTGCTGTTCATTCTTCGAGGTTGCTCAAATCCAATGGCACTTTCTTGCGTAGGGGCGGGATAAGGCTCACTGCTCTTTTGAGCTTTTTTGGAGTTTGTTCAAGGTGCAGGCCGAAGCCGAAGCCTTGATTTAAGGATCCGAGCTTCTCCGCCTGCGCTTCCTAGCCAAGCTCGACAGCTTCTCTGGAATCCCGCGGCGCTTCATCAAGTGGAGCCGAGGATTCGGAGGGTTTCGGATTCGGGGGACGCGTAGGTCCCCTTACTACGTAGCCCAAAATGGCCTGAGGAGCCTTAGGGAGTCTCTTGAGAGCTGAAGGTGAACTCTGGAGGCTGGAGGCTCGGGCGGCCGGGAATATCTTCTATGCGATGGTCGCTTGCTTGATCGGCCTCCACTGGCTGACCTGTCTTTGGTTCGTCTCCGGCATGGCTCCGAATGGCTGGGTCTTCACCGAAATTGAGGCGGACCTACTCGACCAGCCCGTGGTGGATCGATATAGGATTGCACTGGAGTGGGCAGTGTCGCGGATCCCTCCGTCGAAGACCACGGACAACGTCCTCCTCACTTCACAGGCGGATCGAGGCAGGTGCAACAGAGGACTGTAACCCGTAAACCCCAGCTAAACACCGAAAGATCCCGAAACCCTGAACCCTCCTAAACCCTGGTAGCTCGGGTTTCGTTGCAAGACCGAATGCCAGCGAGGCATCGCCTTGTCAGCCACGGCCATGGCTCTTCTGGCGGCAGCCTGCCTGCGAGTCTCTCTTTTGGGGTGGGTGATCCTTTGTGTTGTCCGGCTCAAGCTCGTGATAAAGTGTTTGCAGACCCCCGAATTCCACCAACACCAGGCTTCCATCTTCACGTCGATTGTGACTAACGACTTGTCGGACATCCGTCGGGCGCAGCGTCAGCAGGGCGAGGCCGACAGTCAGCTAGCGGACTTCTTGGAAACCTTTCCCGTCTCCTGGACACTGGAGCGACAATTGAAAGCCTACCTGAGGCAAACTGTACAGAAAGTTTCCTTACCGAGCAAGCGAGACATGGCTGCGCTTCTACCCGACCTGCTCCATGGGCAGCTCTGTTCGGAAGCACTGGGTGCCATCATTTACCGCCATCAGATGCTCACTGTTCTCATGACAAAGTATCCGAGCTTCCAGCGAGATCTTTGTGTCAAAGGTTCGCAGCCAAAAGCATCCAAGAAGGTACACATCGTATTAAGACGCATCGTACTAACATAATAATATAGGCATCTCACCTCCCGGTCCTCCCCTTACCTGAAAGGTCTTGAAGATTGGACGGCAGCTCCAAACGAGGCTTTGTTTTCACCTGGGCTGCCTTGTCACAGCATGCTCTTCGTTGCTTTCGACTTTGTTCTCTATAGGAGGCGGGGTGCGGTGACAGCAGCTGAGCGAAGCAATCCTTTGTCGGCCAAGACGTACACACTTCCTCGTGGCTCTTCTTGGGGCTCCATCATGCAAACGCCAGTGCCAGCTCCGAAGAAAACGGTTCTGGACACAGAGCCGTCCTTGCGTGTCAAGCGATGCCATTGGTTGTGTGAGCCGTGCTTATGGACTGACTGGCACTACCACGGTCATGCCGTTGCAGGCTCTTGTGCAAGCCTTCTCTGCCTGAGTCCTGCATCACTTCTGTCCATCACTTCAGGGCACGCGGAGATATCTGCCGAGCTTGTGATTCATGCCCGGCTCTTCCTCAATGCGCTCAATGAAATTCCGGAGGAAGACCTCAGCGATGTGCAGCATGTCTTGTGAGGAAATGAGGAAATTCTTGTGTTTCGGCAAACATCCGCGAACGAAAACCCGTGCAACTGTGCTGGAAGGGCTGTGAAGTTCAGCAGTTCCGACAGCATTTTTAACAGTCTCACCTGCTTGTTGCCAGAGTTTAGAACTTGTTGCAACCACGCCTAGCCCGGTTTCAATTATCTGTCCGCTGCCATGGCAGCCTGGCAATCGGCAATTGGTGGAGTGGGACAATCCTTCTCAGATCCGTCGTGGCACATATGTCTTGGTGTGCTTGTTATTGTTGCTGAACTTATTATTGTTTTAGTAACATTTTAGTAATGTTAAATACTATTGTTGAATAGTTTTATTAAATGGTACTGGTAAATAGTGTTGTTAAGCTGCATTAGTAGTGTTGTTGCTACTTCTTTGGTGTCTCCTGCACTTGGTCAACAGTCGCCAGTCTGTGCATGTTCGGGTGTCCCCTCCTGCGGCAAGCGCTAAGCCGCTAAGCCCTTAGGAACGCACCGCTGCCAGACTGGTGCGCGGCACCGGAAATGGGTCAGTCTTCTGGCGTTCGCGGTTGGAAGGTCAGGGTGCCAAGAGAGGCAGCGAGAATGGACCAATGAGTTTTCATGTTATACCTCTTCCTCATTTGTTTAATCATTCTATCAACCAGTCAGTCTTTCTATCCAAAAATTGAACCACTAACGTGACCTGTCACCTTTAGATACATATATGTTGGCAACATACACAAAGCGACATAGCCTTTGCCACCAGCAATATCAGGGATTGACCACAGGTCGACTTGAACGTGGTCTCACAGACCAAACCAAGTATGTCCGGTTCCCTTCAAGTCGATATGGTTCGTTGCTATACACTCGGCATTTCGAGTACCAGAAGGATAGTGAGGGTGATGATGATGCTTAGCTTTGTTGTGTTGCTGCCTTTCCTCCGCTGCTTCCATCTGCTTGCTGCAAGGTCAGACGTGCACGCTGATCTATCCATCGCTCCGTTTCTATATCTTCGTGCGTTAATTTGAACTGAAGCAATCCGGGGATTGAATGAGCAAGGGTAAATGCATAATCGCGAGTGTAAGTATATGTATATACATATATAATGTTGTATTACACATATACGTACATATATATATATATATTCATTCATATATCAGTATGCATATCTATATATCTATCTATCTATCTATCTGTCTATCTATCTATCTATATATATATATATACATATCTATATATACATATATATATATATACATATACATATGTACATAGAGTATGAGGAAGGTACTTGTATATGTGCACGGTTTTGTACCTGTACATGTGCCGTACTTCATGCCTGCGGGCACTCATATATGTCCATGTCAACGTCAATATCAGTGTCTCTGCCTATGCCTGAGCCCATGTCTATGTCTACATATATGCATATGTACATGTACTCAGGCATCATGTTACATGGCGCATGTCGCCTTCAAATTGAGGAAGCTGTGCGATGCTTGACATGGTCGTCTCATGCTTCATTTTGTATTTTTCATTTCGACTTCATGCTGCGCTGTGCCGTATTTAGTATCTTCATCTCGTGGTTATGCAGAGCCCTAAACTCCAGGGCCATGCGCCCGACTAAAATCCATGTGGTGGGGTTGTCAAGCATCAGAAATGCATCAAGTACGGGACCTTGTAACCTTCCGGCCAATTCGAGCAGTGCCCATTCTGTGCGCTTCTTGGATGGCACTTGTTGCCGCGACACCTTGCTGCCACAGAGATGCTCAGAGCATCAACAGGTATGCAGGGGTCCCAAGTGAAAGCATAAAGGGGCATGAATGTTTTGATTGTTCAACTTCGAGACGCAGCTCCTCTCCAATGCCATGCATGCGGCCGTTTGAGAGCTGTCTTCTGGCAAGGTGAGCTGTATGTCTAGGTTTGAAGCTTCTGTTGCTGTGCTGACCAACTGCGAGGCACAGTACCACTGCTTAGGAAGCAGATAGGTGGCCTTCAGTTTTCCGTGTTGGCACGACTCGTGCACAGACACGTTTACTTACGCGAGAGCTTCTCTTGACATCCCCAGCTGCATGGTGCTTCGTCGAAGAATCTTTGGAGCACTCATTGCCCATGTGGGTGCCTGGAAAAAGAAACCGGGATTCAAGCTTACGGCATATATATATATACATACATACATACATACATACATACATACATACATACATATATATATATATAGACGCACAGACATAATAAACACCTGTTGTCTAGGCTGAGGGTGCGAAAAAACAGCTTGAAGAAGAAGAATGCAAACTCATGACAAGCGCGGTAATGCTTGCCAGTAAGTTGCAGAAAGACACACTGATGTAGTGATGTTTCATGTTTCGGACACGTAGGTCAGGCACGTTTTTGAATGCTGTCCTTTTGTCTATACATCATGCCGAACTCCTATCCACCAGGGATTGGGCCAGTCGCAGGTACATGGATGTCCAGCAGTACATGGGAAAATACACCCGCAATGACTGGATGAAGGCCTTTGCGTCATCTCACGCCGTCTCGTGGGTTGCTTTGCAGCACGCCTGTCGAAATTTCCTCGATGCTGTAGCCGCTGCTTGAACGGCTTGTCAGCGTCCCGCCTTGCATCTGCACCATAAGATTGGCTTTCTTTGCTCTGACAGTTCCAGCAGCAGCAGAACCAGCAGCAGCAGGCGCACTGCTGTGAACTTTACCATGTGGGTAGTTCTCTGGTCCTTTGAGGGTCCTTTTTAGACGCCTGCAAAATTTTCAGGACCTATAAAGGGGCCCTAATGTGGCGAACCACCCGAGTGCATTTTGCACTCGGGCTCAGCTCTTGAGCCCTGGTGGCTCACGGACGAAACCCGAAGACGAGCCTCTCTCACCTGCGCCAATCGCTATTCAAGAGTCAGTCACGAGAGCTTCAGAATCCGATTGCCCGTAGAAGGATGTGATGCTGGCGTCAGGTGTCCTTCCGCAAACTCCCGTCTCGTTGTAGACATCTTGCAGTGACACGTGGGCTTCTTTCGATTCCAGGCTGCCTGACTCCAGCTTTGTCCAGCTTTGACGGCAAGTGATCCACGTGGCAGGTGCCGTACTCTGCCTCCGACTGTAAGACGCCTGAGGAGCTGGAGGCATGGAAGCAGCGTACGGTGCCCACGACGAGGTTTTGAGCATGTAGTAGGGTTCTCTGTACCCTTATGCAGTTCAAAGGAGTAGGTTGCAGCTGCTACCAGGTATTCGATGCATTCGGTGGTGATCACTGAGATGTTGTTTCAATATCTGCTTAGTTGCGAATCCTTGGAAGGCAGCTGGCTGCTAGCTAAATCCTACAGAAGCCGGGGGTCAAGATGTGTATGTTGTGAGCAAGAAGCTTACTAGTCTGCCAATTGTACATACTTGTTATGTTACCCTTCCACCAATATTGGCCAGAAGGGACGTTTGCTTGCCTGCAGTCCTCTTGGGACGCCTGGCGCTTTATGGCTGATAAACTAGGTGGCATTTAGGGAAACTTAAATATTTCCCTTATGGTTCCTATAGAGGTACCTATTTAGAAATACTACTCAGGGCCCCAAAACTACAACCCAGAAAACTGTCCTTAGCAAGGGTTTTTCAACTTAGTCAGGGGGGCTGTTTTTTCAGCCAGATCCTTTCTGCTTGTCTCCTTCGCTTCTTCTGCAGCCGTCCTGGGTTGGTGTATGTATTTGTCGACCATTTGTCGCCTGAATGTCAAAGCAGGATAGGTTACATCCCAGGTGCCATTGCCAGCACATGCTTCATGCAGGTTCTGTGCGTGTCTGGCCAGCTGAGAAGCTGACTTTCTCCGTCATGGACGCTGATAGTTGAAGTACTACGTGAACTAGCTGTTCAGAAGTCGTCATGGACGCTGGTAGCGGAAGTACTACGCCACTACGCGACTAAAATGTTCTCGGTTCGCAGACTATCCTGTCTTTTGCTGCCTGTGCGTAGTGATAGTAACAGTGTTCTGAGCAAAACAACGACGATAGCGGAAGAGCTTGCACGCACATATGCGCATGTCTTCCCGTCGCGACTCTCCAGGTTGTGACCACATTTTTTTTCTGGACAGGCAGCAAAAAGGCGGAGTATGCCACACACAAGTCGGGAAGGTTCATCGGCCCTAAACCCTAAACGCTAAACCCTAAACCCCTGCGGAGATTATGGGTGGGCCTTGCTTTGGGATTTGGTTTGTAAAGGCAGGTCCCGGGTTCTGGGGCTCTGAAGGGCTGGATGTTCAATGGCCTGCAGAAGTCCATATAGCCCGACCTGAAGCTGTAGTTCACAATAACTAAACCAGGCTAGCCTGCATTCCGTCAGGATTCATCTTCGAGTGGACTACAGTGGATACTCCTCCATTATTCCCATCCTATACTGATAACACTACGTATCATCATTTCTATATTTCTATTGACCTTAGTAATACCATTACCCTTACAATTCTGCTTCTTCTTCTTCTTATTCTTATTTTTTGAAAATATCTTTGTTCGTCTTCTTATTCTTCTTATATTTTTATTATCTTTACTGTTCATTTATTGTCTTATTCATATTCCAATTATTTTTTCTTATTCTTATTCCGCTTGACTTTCCGCTTCACCAAGGCCAGCTGGACGTCGTGAATTCCTGGGTACCAGCAGCCTACCAAAAGAATGCAAGGGGCCCTGAGAAATCCTCTGCAGAGCATGGGCAAACATGTGACGTTTGGGGTTTTGGGGTTTAGGGTTGCGAGACAAGCCCCGGGAATTTGGTGTGCCGCTTGTAGTTCATTGCCCAGATTGCAGGTTGTGTATGTTCTTCACTGCACGCAGCCAAGCCGAACAAGGGCTAGGGCGGCCAAGTACGAGAGGGGCAAATATCATGAGCCTGATGTGCCGAAGTTTCCGTAGTACCTGCTTTGGAGCCACTCAGGTGCTGGACAACGTGGATCAGGCGAGACCGAGCGTGGGGCCAAACGGCAGAAATCTCTTCAGCCCCGGTGGCTTCGATCAAGACTCGCTGTGCACGGGGCCA